GTTGTTGTTGTTACCAAAATCAGTTTTCTAAACTTTAGAAATAACGATTATGTTACTTATAGCTCAGATAATCTGTGTCAGACATGTTAAAACTGGATTTTTAGGTTTTTAAAATGTGTTCATGTTTAATCAGATGATCATTTTGTCCAGGTTTATTGTCTTGTTTTATTATTTAAAATGTTTTTATTTGTTTTATTTTCTTTATTTTCTCTCATCAGATTGACGACAAAATGTTTCTTACAAAAGGTATAATCGGAAGCATCCTAAAAACTATCGGGTGAGACAAACTGAGATGTGCTAACAGTTTCCCTCTGCTTCCAGTGTTTGTGCTAAGCTAAGCTAAGCTACGTTGTTTTCTTCTCTCTGCAGGGACATCGACCCATCTCAGTTCAAGCCTTCAGACCCTGTAAGTACCGACTAACAGGAAGTGTTTAAAGCCCACTGCTGCTTCTTCACTTAATGAGACCCGGATCAATAATTCAGGCTCGGTTCTTAGACTGGATCATAGAAACATGGTCTGCTGGTCTTCTGCACACACTGAGGTGAATCAGAAACAGACGAGTTCTGAGGGGTCCCACTGCTATGGGCCCGTCCCAGGTTTTAGACAACTTATAAAAAAAGACTAATAAAAGTTAAATATTTAAACATTTTGTTAGCATTACAGGATGTACACGCACAGAGGAGGCTTCTAGTTGATTTATTTTAAATTATCTTCAACCGATGTCTCCAAACTTTTCATGAGTTGTGTAAAACGCCATAGTGGGACCGGGCCCATCGTCCACTCTGGTCTGGTTCTGTTGGGTCAACTGGTGTTCCACCTGAAGACAGGCGGAGAAGGAGGAGTTTAAAGTGCCTTCGAATAAACAACTTGTATCATTTTATTATTATAAAAACACCAAAAAACAAACAGACAAAGGCTAAAAGCTAACAAAATGCTAGCTAAAAGAAGTGACAGGCTAGCTTGAAGCTAAAAGTAGTGAAGGGTTAGCTTTGATTTGATTTATTTATTTAACAGGAAAAGATTATTAAAAATCAAGCCTGACTCAGCATAATTGCTGTTTTACAGCAGGTTCCTGTTCTGCAGCACATAAAACACTCAGAAWTACAGCATCACAATCACATCATTATACACCATAGACACAAAGACAAACAAGCATACCAAATTTCAGGAAGGCAGCATTTGCAAAATAGGACGTCTAAATANGGACTTTATGTTTTGAGGAATGTCATTCCATGCTTTAGTATAAACATAGAAGAAAGACCTCTGGCCGTAACAGTTTTTAAAAGTTGGTAAWATCAGTTGTCCTTTTGTAACAGATCTAGTTGAATGACCACTTCCAGAATTTGATTTGGGCAACAAAGTAAAAGTAGATAAAAGTAGTGAAAGCTTAGCTAAAAGAAGTGAAAGGCTAGCATGAAGCTAAGGGTTAGCTTGAAGCTAAAAGTAGTGTAGGGTTAGTTAAAAGTAGCAAAAGGTTGAATTGACAGGTCTAGACCTCTTGTTAGTCCTGAATTGACAGGTCTAGACCTCTTTTAGTCCTGAAGTGACAGGTCTAGACCTCTTTTAGTCCTGAAGTGACAGGTCTAGACCTCTTTTAGTCCTGAAGTGACAGGTCTAGACCTCTTGTTAGTCCTGAAGTGACAGGTCTAGACCTCTTGTTAGTCCTGAATTGACAGGTCTAGACCTCTTGTTAGTCCTTTAGACCTCTTGTTAGTCCTGAAGTGACAGGTCTAGACCTCTTGTTAGTCCTGAAGTGACTGGTCTAGACCTCATGTTAGTCCTTTAGACCTCTTGTTAGTCCTGAATTGACAGGTCTTGTGGTTCTGTCCTCAGCCTCCTCCTCGCAGACCCTTGAACTTCTCTGAGGCTCATGAGAACGATGAGGAGAAACAGTTCCGAAAAGTTTTCCAGCAGCTGGCCGGAGAGGTGAGTTCCTGTTTGATCCTGAATGTTTCTGTTCGAGGTTTGATCTTTAAACCAGAGCACGTTTCAGAACAGGTTAGACCTGGACCAGGGTCCTGGGGTCTGTCTCAGAGACCCTGTTGCACTGTTTAACTTTGTGCTGCTGCTTGGATGGCTTTGTGTTATTTTTCTGGTTTTTATCAGTTTTTGTTGACTGCATACCTCAGAGGGGTTCTGCTCCTGGGTCTGGACCTGTTCAGGATGACACACGTTAGGCTCCGCCCTGCTGCCAGTTTTTCAGGTTTCCTTTCTGAAAAAAAAAAAAAAAACAATAAAACAAACACTGCACATATGAGCTGTCAGACAGTTTCCTACAGAGATCACAGCTGGTTGGAGGTCGTTTGATCCTCAGCTTTTTAAAAGTTTAACTCTCACTCAACACCTGCCTACCTGCTGACTCCGCCCTCTTTTATCTCAGTTTTTATTTCCATCACTTCCATTACTCCTGAGTACCACAACTTTTTCACGAGCTGAAAAAAAGTGGAGTTTTAGTTCTGACCCCATGGCAGGAGGCTGATGATGATGATGATGATGATGAAAGGAGAAGAAGTAAAATCCTTCATCTTCATCAGCAGAACCACAAATAATCAAAACTGTCTCATCAGGGTTCAACTGAAGGAAGTCTTTTAAATAAATCATCTTCTGACAAACGAAACGAACAGCTGGACGTCATCTGCATAAAAATGACAGGAAGTGTTTCTGAGTAATGAGAACAGGAGCGGCACCAAAACAGAACCCTGAGGAACTCCACACGACAGGATCTGGTTCAGACCCTGACGGTTCAGAGTCTGAGACCCTGAAACGCGTCAAATCCAAACCCGAGGAAAGATCCGCGAGGCTAAAATCGTTTTTGAATTAATCCATACGGTTCGTTTTCTTTCTTTCTCTACATTTCAAAATAAAATCGCAAAAAAAAAACAACTGTCATGTTTTTCAAAACCTAAATGGAAAAATATCAAATCGAACTAATAACAAATCCACAGTGTTGGATTTTTGCTTCTCTTAGCTAAATCTAAATTAAAATATATAATTGTTTTAATTTGTAGGGATACAGGAAATGATGGAAGTTGTCAAAAGAATAAGAGTTTATAGTTTCTGGAAGAAAACTGCTCAGTGAAAATGTGGAAAAAAATAAAATAAAAAGTAGTCTTTTTTTCAATTTTGCTACTGTCGTTTTTTTAAATTCAGTTTTAAAACAAAAGAATTGAAAAAGAAAACCTGATTATTCTTTTATTTTCATTTTATTTTGAAAGAATAAATGGAAAATGAGTGAATGAATCTGAGCTGAATTATTTTAGAGCTTCCTTTCGAAGAAGGATTGTCTCTGATCCAGGAGGACTCTCAGGGACTCTGGTCTCAGTTCCGGTCCTCAGGCCCTCACCTCAGAAACACAGTTTGTTTGTTCAACATGTGGACGGATCCTCGGCTGCGGGGCGGTTCTGCATTCCTGCCGTTGTTTGGCAGGGCGGTTCTGACTCGCAGTGAGTCAGCCGGGCCGGGTGCTCCAGTTAAACCAGTCAGCTCTCACTGCCTGGATTTATCTAAACCAGCAGGGCGTGGTCCGCGATGAAGGATCCCTTCAGAAGTGGGCGGGGCCAGCTGGCTCCGTGAAAAGTGTTTTTTTAAAAGGAGCAGAACCAGCAGTCTGTGCTGCGTTTAAAGTGCTTTTAAAATGCGGGAAATCCAAGCTTCTGTGTCACATAGAGTTTTTATGTAAAAAAACAGAAATCAGGATTGTTTTTTTATTTTATTTTCATTATATTTGTGTTAAAGTTTCAGCAGCAGAAACATAAAATCTGAGTCCAGATTTGAGTTTTGTTTCTATCAGTGAGTCAGAACCTGAAAAAAGGAAACAATAAAAATAGAAGTGACTCACTTTGTTTCTGCCACTTCCTCTGGTGGAAACGTTCGAACTCTGAGAGGAAAACAGAYGATCTGTTTGAAGTCTGGAGAAAAACGGATAAATTAACGAGTTTAAACAGAGTTTCTGTTTTCAAACTTTATATTTTCATCTGTGTTTCTGACTCTGTTTCATCACATCTAAATGTTTAACATCTGAAAGATTGCCTTCAGCCCTCAGGAAGTTGAGCTCTTCAAAATAAAAGTCTTCTGCAGCCTTCTGGACACCAACAGGAGCGTGTTTGTCAGGTCCAGCAAAGAGCGGTTCTGTTCTGACGGCTGTGTTTGTGTTCTGACAGGACATGGAGGTCAGCCCACAGGAGCTGATGAACATCCTGAACCGAGTCATTTCCAAACGTGAGTCGGCTCCTCCATCTTCAAAAATAAAACCAGTTCGTTGTCAGGGTTGGTTTTGTTCATCTGCTGGGATCCGAGTCAAAGTTTCGGCTGTTTTTCACCCACAGATGCAGGCCTGAAGACCGACGGCTTCAGCATCGAGTCCTGCAGGAGCATGGTCGCTGTCATGGACGTATCCTTCCACGCAAAATAGTCCCAAAGACCTAAGAGCTGCAGGAATTTTGTTTCCTGTCCAAACACTTCGTGACATGCACTGAAACTGAGATCTTTGCAGCAGAACACTAGCTGAAAGCTAAAATATCAAAATGCTAGTTGAAGATAAACTTAGCACAATAGTGGCTAAAAAACAAAAGTAGCAAAGTGGTATCTGCTAAAAGCTAAATAGGAACAGTAGCTAAAAAACAAGTGTAGCAAAACACATGACRACTAAAAATTGATGAATAGCTAAAAATAGCTATGTGCTTGGTAAAATCTAAAGCTAAATGCTAAAGCTAAAATAACAGTAGCTAAAAGCTAAAAATACAAGAACAGCAGCTAAAAGCTAAAGGTAAAAGAACTGTAGCTAACACAGCTAATTGGTTAAAGAACAGTATAGAAAAGTTAAAGATAAAAATAGCAGCTAAAAGCTAACGTTTAAAGAACAGCAGCTAATGGTTAAAGAACAGCAGCTAATGGTTAAAGAACAGCAGCTAATGGTTAAAGAACAGCAGCTAATGGTTAAAGAACAGCAGCTAATGGTTATAAAACAGTAGCTAATGGTTATAAAACAGTAGCTAATGGTTATAAAACAGTAGCTAATGGTTATAAAACAGTAGCTAATAGTTATAAAACAGCAGCTAATGGTTAAAGAACAGCAGCTAATGGTTAAACAACAGCAGCTGAAAGCTAATGGTTATAAAACAGTAGCTAATGGTTATAAAACAGTAGCTAGTGGTTAAAGAACAGCAGCTAAAGCTAATGGTTAAAGAACAGCAGCTGAAAGCTAATGGTTATAAAACAGCAGCTAATGTTAAAGAACAGCAGCTGAAAGCTAATGGTTATAAAACAGTAGCTAATGGTTAAAGAACAGTAGCTAATGGTTAAAGAACAGTAGCTAATGGTTAAAGAACAGTAGCTAATGGTTAAAGAACAGCAGCTGAAAGCTAATGGTTAAAGAACAGCAGCTGAAAGCTAATGGTTATAAAACAGTAGCTAGTGGTTAAAGAACAGCAGCTAAAGCTAGTGGTTAAAGAACAGCAGCTGAAAGCTAATGGTTAAAGAACAGCAGCTAAAGCTAGTGGTTAAAGAACAGCAGCTGAAAGCTAATGGTTAAAGAACAGCAGCTAAAGCTAGTGGTTAAAGAACAGCAGCTGAAAGCTAATGGTTGCAGACTTTGACCTGACTCCCTGCAGAGCGACAGCACAGGAAAACTGGGCTTCCATGAGTTCAAATATCTCTGGAACAACATCAAGAAATGGCAGGTTGGTCCTCTGTTGTTGTTTGTTTACATACATGTTGTTGTTTGTTTATCTACCTGTTGTTGTTGATGTTTAAATGTTGTTTATTTCTCTTCAGGCCATCTATTTATCTCACGACACGGACCGTTCTGGTGTGATCAGCGCTGCCGAGCTTCCAGGAACCTTCAAGTCTGCAGGTGAGGAGATGTTCCTGCTCTGAGCTCAGGTCCACAGAGAGGTTCTGGCTGGTTCTGATCGGTCTCAGACGGGTTTCTTTGTGTTCTCAGGCTTCCCTCTGAACGATGACCTTTACAAGCTGATCATCCGTCGTTACTGTGACGAGAAGGGCGACATGGACTTTGATAACTTCATCGGCTGTTTGGTGCGACTGGACGCCATGTGCAGTGAGTATACATGTATATAATATATTTCACTCTGTTTTATTTATGTACTGAATTTTGCTCCAGAATCAACTTTAATGATGTTTAATATAGTAAAATGTTTTAAATCATTTAGTCAAACACTTGAAATGTTCACTCATCTTTAAAAGTCTTTCCGTCAAAAGAAAAATGATTTAACTTTTGTTGGATCTGAAAACATCTGCAGGGGTTGAATATTTCCTCCCAGCTCTGTAAATGTAGACGGGACTGACGTTTAATAATTTGTTGTTTGTTAACGGGACATTAATGATGCGTTTGTGGTCCTCAGGAGCTTTTAAAACTCTGGATAAAGACGGTAACGGCAGCATCAGTCTGGACATCAAAGAGGTGAAACAGAGTTTATTTATTTAGTTTTTGTTTTATTCATATTTAACTCTTTTTATTGATTTTATTGTTTTTAATTTTTGTTTAGTGATTTTTCATGTTTTGATTTTAAATGTTTTGTTGCAGTTATGGTTGTTTTGAGGTGCTTTATAAATAAAGTAGTATTTTTTTTAGTTATTAGGATTCGTAAACTTTATTTTCAAATTTGCTTTAAAATATTTTTGCATGATACGAAATAAGTAAAGGACCTGAAAAAAGGAAAATAAAATCAGTTTGTGTTTTAATGAACTTTTTAAAATCATATTTCTGTTTGATGCTTCATATCCACTTGATAAAATAAAAACATAATATTCCTTTAATCCTTAATTTTGTTTGAAAAACTTAAATAGTTTGTGATTTGAATGTGTTTTAAATTGTTTTTCTGTTTTCAGTGGCTTCAGCTGTCGATGTATTCATGAACCAACACAGAAGAGAAGCATCATCTCGCAGCACATTACTTTGTTTTTCTTTTGTTTTTGTTTTTTGTTTGTTTTTTTGCTTCTGGATGTTAACTTGTGCTCACATCGTTGCTGTATTTATCCAGCAGGACCAAAAAAACATAAAAAAAGTAAAGTCGGGGTAAAACTGGGACCAAAGTGGAGCTGATGACCTCCTGCCACCAGGTGGCGCCAGAACATCTCTGTGGCTCAAAAATCTTTTGTTACTAAAGAGTTCCATTTTTATTGAGCTGACAAAGTTTCTGGAAAAAGACTCTTTTAAACAAATTAAAGAGACCCAACTGAAATAAACTCTTGTTTTGTATTTTTACACAAATTGTTTAGTTTTTAAAAATTAATTAATGAAGTTTTTCTGGAGTTTAGAGCAGGAGTTGGATCTTTTACAGGAACATTCTGCAGCTCAGTTCAGGTTGGATCGACTCTAAATCATAAAATATTTTAAAGAAGAATAAAAACAAACCAAAGTCCCGTCAGCAGCCGTGGACTTTATAAAACGAACCTCGCTGTTAAAAAGGAGTCATTTCTTCCCACTGTCACCGCCTCAGGACGGACAAAACATTTGATTAAATCTGCTGCTCAACGTTTTCTAATTTACTGAATGTGACTGAAAATAATTAGGAAATAATTTTAATTATATTTTAATCAGAATCTGAATTAAATTAATAATTTAGATCAGTTCTCAACTGAGTTTAAATGTTTTTTTAGCTGAACTTAAATGTTAAACGTAAAGAAAATGTTGGTTTTTAAGGAGCAACGATGAGCAAGAAATAAAACAAGTTAATCAAAATATAAATGTAATTATTTAATATAAAATAAGCCTGTAGTTCAGTGTTGTATAAAGTACCTCAAAAGTGCAAGTATCTTATCATAAAAATACTTTGGTAAAAGTTAAAGTCTTCTCTAAAAATATTACTTGAGTAAAACTCTTAAAGTATCTGATATTTTTTGTATTTAAGTGTCAAAAGTAAATTTCTGACACAAAATCTACTTAAGTATTAAAAGTAAAAGTACTGAGTAAAAGTGAGCAGTTAGATTTTCCAAAATGACATTTATTGGGAGGTGACTTCTCCAAAAACTATATTTTCTAACAGCGTGCAGCTGTGATGGGTTGTGTACAAGCTAATAGTGTGTCAGAATGGTATATATTTTCCAACCACAATTAAATTCACTCTATCCAGGAG